AAAGAAATTCCTTTTTTTTTTTTATCGTCACCCAAAAAACAATAAACCAAAGAAAGGAAGGACCCGAAGTTTAAGCGTTATTGACGGTGCAGTTCACATTAACTTCTTTATTTATTTATTTATTTACTTATTTATTCATTTATTCCTTTACCCATACATTCACTTATTCATCTAGCTCTTCCAGTTCTCCAATTAGTTAGTCAATGCGATCCGTTAATTATAAAATAACAGACAGTAAGTGACGAACAGCAGCAGCAGCAGTTACAATACTTACACCAACTCAGTGAAATATGTAAATTTTTAAGCCATCCAACAGCTGGCAATACGTCTGACACTGGAAGACAAGGAATGAGCAAAATGAAGCCAAGTGAAGTCAAGCCGTCCAGTTGTATAGAACAGAGACAAAGCAAATCACCAATGAACAGGCCTGACCAACCAATAACACTGGGTTCACACCCCTCCTCTTGGCCATCTCACGGTACCCTAACCGGTCCAGCTATCGTTATCATCTCTACTGTTCAGATCTGTAATCCGTTTAATCCGGACACCACCATCATCATCATCATCATCGTCATCATCATCATCATCGTCATCATCATCATCATCAGCAGCAGCAAAAGCACCAACATCAAACCAATGGTTGGCAGCAACAAGAGCATCTTCTGAACCATATAGATGTACTTGTTGTTGTTGTTGTTGTAATTTGGTGTTTTTCTGGAAAGCTTTAGCCAAAGTCACTATAGCTAAATCATAAATGCTAAACAGTATCTGTCACACAGTTATTGAAAAACATTATTATAAATGCAAAAAGATATGTCAAAAAAAAAAAAAAAGTTTTTTTATATGTCAAATTGTCACCTTAAGACGAAATATGCAAAAAACTCTTTTAATTTCTTTTTTTTTTTTTCACATATCACTTTCACTTGGTTTAATATACTAATAGAGCATTCTGACTTTTTTATTTTACTTTTTTCCCCCTCATCCCCCCTTCCTCCTCTTCATCAATCCTCTGTTACCGACTTTTTGTCTGTAATATAATTTTATACCGCTATGTTATTTCGTATAAAATTTGTCCGAAAATTTTTTTTCTGTCTAAAAACATCTTTTTTGAAGATGACAAAAAAGGAAGAAAATGAGATGTAATAACTGTAGTGTACGAAAAAAAAAAGAAGAAAAAACTGAATTGTTTTCTTGGTTGTTGCATTTCTTTTTTTTTCGTCCTCAAAAAGTCAACCTGTTCATTATGATCATCCAATACAAAGGGTGTTCGCCATTAATGTGATCATATTTCTTCACCGTTGAAAGATAGTTGATGTCATTTCCTTTTTGGCTTACTTTTTTTTCCTTTTTCCTTCTTTTTTTACCTTCCTTCCAAATTTATTTTTTCAAAAAGTTATCATCTGTATTTTTTTACTTTCCTCAGCCTTTCTTTTGCTGTGCCGTCAAAGCTTATGTTTCCATCTGACTAATATTTAATCAGTTGCAGCCAAGAAAAGATAAGAAGTGCCCAAAAAAACCACTTAGCATCATTGATAAAAGTAACCAATAAATTGTCAAAAAAAAAAAAAAATTGTAACAGGTGAATATTAAATTGAACTGCACCAAAAAGAAAAAAGTACTGTTTTTTTTTAGAGGTAACCAATGAAAAAGAAAATAGAACAACATAAGAAAAATAAAGGTAAGAAGAAGGGAAGGAAACCAGAAAAAAAAAGTAGGAATCCAACAAAAAACTAAGTTAAATAGATGAACATAGCAATACCGATAAGAAAAGCGAAAAAAAAAAATTGGTGATTGTGAATAATCAAAACTAAATTTTGAATTTTTTGTTACCATCAATGGGTTCTTTCATTCCTCGTTTTCTTCTTCTTCTTTTATAGATGTATTTGGATGTTGTATGCTTGTGTCCGTTTCGATTGTTGAAAAAAAAATTTTTTTTGATAGATTAAACGATGACGCTTTAGTGAGCTCAACTTTTATTTCTGCTCAACCGTAACAAAAGCACCGTTTTTTTCCTTTTTTCTAGAAGGGATAGAAGTTTCCCTAGCTTTGCTCACAAATCAAAAAAAAAAATTAGAAAAATAGACGAAAAAAAACTTGATGAAGAAAAGAAAAGTGAATGGAATTTTAAAGTGAAAAGGGAGGAGGTATTTTGTTCAGTTGACTAAGAGACTTAAATCGTCTTCTATGATGCCCAATAAAGCAAGAAACTGCACGCAAAATTGGATGAAATAAAAACATAAAAGTTTTTTCTATTTCATTTCAATTTTTTTTTCTTTTTTGAGGAGGAAGTAGATGAAGAAAAAAAAGAAAAGAAAAAGACATCCGTAGTGCATAAAGTATACTGCATGGATTAGTTGAATGAATTGTGACGGTGATTTTGCGGGTGAGATGGGGAAGAAATGGAGATAAGGAACGGCAATGGTGATCCTGAAGGCAATACCGATGACGATGGTGACGATGATAGTGAACGGACCATCAGTGTTGCTGGGTGTTAGCAAAACTAACTCCTAGTTGGTCGATGTCTATCTGTGTTCGTTCTCTTCGGCTTACTTCACTTGGATTGCTCCTTTCAACCCTCCACCAGATGCCTGCCAATCAAATGTGTATGTTGGCTTTAAGATCAACAAAACACTTTCAAAAAATTTTTTTCAAATATATCCCATGCTTTTCCTCCTTATCTGTTTATTTCT